AGTCTCCCATCAACTCGACAGGGCAACCTCCGCCCCCCCCTCCCACCCCCTCCCATACATTTGGCATGTCTCAAAATAGAAAAATGGTTTCTGTTTGGGTTCCCCTTCAACCAACCTGAAAAGGGTACCGAGCCTCCCAAAAACCTAGCCCAGCTGTCCAATGTCAGAGGGACAATGTGCTGCGAATCTAGTCTCGTGGACTCGCAAATTGAGCAGCGCCCGTTTCACCCATGACGTTTCGTTCTACCAACATGCCTAAGAAGGGTTGTTTCGGACGTACTATGATCCCTGAATTTCGCCGGGTAGGAACCGAACCAACTACTAGAATGGCCCTTTCGGGAATCGGTTTTGGGCGCTGCACCTCATCTTTCGGTCTGTCGTGAAGGGGATGGCTCTAGGGCAACAAAGGAGGAGGATCATGTCGAGGGGACCCATGGTGTTGTGAAACTCAACTTGGCGGCTCGCACTGGTGGACATCAAAATTCGGTGGAAAGTTGTGTCCACCAACCACTTTGGAGGTGGTTCCCTACTAAAAATCATAGCCGCATTCTAGCAAACACTCATATGGAAAGCTTCTATTGATAAGGAAGCCAGTTCAGGAACAAAGAATCGACCATGGACTATTGGAAATTCTGACCTCGCTGCCCCTCCCAGCAAACCATCCGCCAAAGGGGATTTCTGAAAATGCCAAGTTCCTTTTGGTCTCCCTTTCAATTCAAACCAAAGGTGTCTCCACTCTGAAATTCCTCCCAGACTGTGATGGAAATTGATCGAAGTCTGCATCGCTTGTCACTAAAAAGACCAGCTGTCAGTCATAACGTCACCCAAGCCCCTTCAGAGAACCTGCTTCCCTGGATCTGCAAAAAGTTACCTTGTGCTGCTTGAAAGCAAACTATATAAATGAAAAAAAGAGATCAAACAAAAGCTGTGCTGAGGCTGCTTATGGTGAAAAGTCCACCTGTGAAACCCAAAGTTGATTCCCGTGACTACCTTACAACCTTCAGGAACCTACCCTACAGAAACTGGCCAAATCCTTTGCCCGAATCTCCACCAAGGTGACACCCGGCGCCGCACGGACCCGGGGGCCCGGCATGGTTTGCCCCGACCGCAGATGCGCCGCCATCCTGGCGGAGCGCCGGACATTTGGCGCCGCGTCGATCCCGCGCGAAGCGGGGCGAGGCCAATGTTCAAGTTGGCAGAAGTATGGGTTTTGGACGGCAATACGTATATACCACGCAAAGCGTGTAACGAAATCTATACATGTACCCCTGCTATACTTGGTATATACCCTCCGTACCCTCAAGACCCATGCCTGGAAATGCCGTTGTGGCTTTGGGTGGGCGACTTAGTGCTCTAAGGGCCGCCGGCCACAACATCCAACCTTTGCGCCGTTTTCCACCTGAGCTCCTTAGGACACCGAAGCGATATTTTTCTGTCACACCGCTGGTTAAACAGCCTCCCTACTACAAAGTCTTCACAATGGAACCCTTAGTTGACGTTGGTATCTAGAAATACTAGAAACTCTCCAACCTTCCCAACAGATTCCCACCACCCCTGATCCTGCAAACCTGCAAACCTGCTCCTCTCTCTATTACAGTCGGCTAAACATGCAGGGATGCGAACCCACTTCGGCACTTGGATTGGGGGGCCAGCAAAAGGGGACCCCTCAAAAACAGACGCCACCAAATTTATCAAATGGCAACAGCAGGGTGGGGTTAAAAGCCGGGCCTCCATGCCAATGTGTGAGTTGGTCCGGGGGCCCACATCTCAATTTCCAACTTGCTGCGTTGGCTTTATCTTCCAATTGCTTAAGTCTCCTGGAAGAAATACACATGTGTAGTGATAGATTCCAAGTGAACCAACAGGAGAAACTAAAAGTCATTGGAAGCCAGGCAAAGGGGCTAAATGACTGCTGACATGCCAGGCAACCCTTTGATGACTTCAGCTGGTTTTGAAGTACCGAATCCACAATCTTTTTCTAACTATTTCTGAACGCCGCTGGCAAACTCTGACCTCAAGCAACACGCAGCTTGGGCAGTGGGGTGAGTTGTTCTGATGGCAAACCCGAAAGCGCCTTCCAGTATACCTGTTGAATGGGCCCTTATATCATTCATGTGTACATATATATATATATATATATATATATTATGGCCGTCACGTGGGCCGCTCCAATCCCAATAAGGACTTTTGCGGCCTAGTAGGGTCCAAATTGGCCTACGCGCGCTTGACAGCCTTTGGATTATTGGCCTCTCAGTTGTTGAAACCGGTGGCCAACTGCAAGGCCCAGCTAGCATACGCCCTTGCACCTGGCAAATAACGTAATTACCATATGAACCAGCGGCGTGCCCAGCGCACCGCCCCCCCAAAAGTCTGCAAATCCTCTTGAAGAGGGTGCTTTTTATTTGCTTGGAAAGGGGGTTCAAAGGTCAACAAGGCGAACAAAATCGTGACAAAATCCGCCCTGCGCCGTGCGGGTGTTCCGCTGTGGAAGCGCGCCTGAAGTCTGCCAGACGGCCCCCTAAGCGGTGCTGCGAAGTCGCTTGAAAGGCTTAGAGCCTTTCAACGTGAATTGGAGGCGACCGCCCTCCGATCCGAAACCAATGGCATTCAGACAGGGTGAGTGGAAAGGGCCACGGCAGCCCATTGCCTTGTCAGGATTTATCAATCCCCAAAATCAGTTGATGAACAGAGGAGAGCTCCACTTAAGCAGGGATCCCTCGTTTTTAGAGCAAGCCCCAACTCATCCAACTTTTGTATTAATCCAGATCAACATTATCTGCAACAACTCGCTGGATCCTGCGAATGCCGGCAAATCTGCCTGAAGCTTGGAAATCAGAGTTCTCGGAGTAATAATCAAACCCGGCACAGGAGTTTATCAAAACCAATGCACAGAAATACAACAGCGGCAATAATAACAATAATCAGAATAGTGGAGAGGAATGACACTCTTTGATGGTGTGGATGGCAGTTCCCTTTGAAGCCACAAACAAGGCGTACCCCCTCAACAAAAAGAGAGACACCCAACATGACAATGCTAGTAGTATGGTTGAGACTTCCCGCTGGCCGCCAGTTGCAATTTTTTCCTTCGATGTGCGAACAAGCCCCTTCTCCCCAAAAATTGACCCTTTGAAGAGCCTTGTGCCGCCTTGCGCCGCTGTTTAAGGGTACCGAAAAGGGCCCAAAATTTGACGTACTCCCCATGAGTAAAGCAAAACAGGTGGCATTATTTGAGGTGTCAATCTTCCCGGAACAGCGTGGCAAATACAAGCAGGACCCGACTGTCGATGGCAATCGTAAGAGTCAACACTCGTGATTTTGCTCTGCGAAAGGAAACCTTGAAGAGTGTCTCAGGTACTACTAGTTCTCTGTAAATTCGCATGGAATCCCAAAAAACGAACCGTCTTGGAGGGATCCCCGTTTAGGTCCCACGCTTCTGTTTTTTGGCAGGGGAGTACTTCAACGTGGAGCGAGATTCCGTCTGCGAACATCGGAAAGACCCTGCCCCCTCCATGCCCGGCCCCACGCGAGCCTACGCTTGCGAAGGTGGCGGCGTGGGCGGGTTGTCACATGGCTTCCGGCAGACCCATGGTCAAGCGAGTGCTTGCAGCGTTCCCAGTTGGACCTGTGGAGATCAGAAGCAAAACAGTCAGTTGCGCTTCGGCCATCAAATCTGGCCTGTGTCTTGTTCAGAGGTGCATCTGCATGTCCGAGCTGTGTCATTCACAAGGTGCTAAGGGGCAAGTGCCCTGTTCAGCTTGGAGTTGCTTGCCGGTGTCCTGGTCGCCTTTGACGGAAAGATTTGGGTTCCAAGTCATTCCAAGGAATTGTGCTTTGTGTGTTTGGCTGATGAAACGCGGGTTGGATCCACGCATCCCCAAGAAAACCGAATTCGTTCCGGGGTGGGGGGAGTCTGATATACCCCACATGGGAGCTGAGAGGCACTTGTCCTTCAAATTTCTTCTTTGGCTCGGCGCGGCGCAAAAAACAGATCTTGGGCCAACCAAGGGAAGTCCAACAGAAACCGAGAAAAAAACTAAGGGAAACCAAGGGAAACAAAGCGAAACCAAGGGAAACCAAGAAAAAGAAAAGGGAACCCAGGGGAGCGGGGTCTCAATTTCCTTCAGGGTGCACGTCGCAAGGACATCCCTTTGGGAGATCAGTCTAACCGTCTAACCCGAAAAGGGTTGGGTGAAACATCAACTTTTGGTTGAACCCATTTCAACTGAGGAGATGTTTGAAGTGATGTGTTGGGTGCTTGGATAAACAAAGCACCTGCACGTCTCAAAATGGTGGGTTGGCCAATCCTAATCCACAATCCCAGGGAAACCACCACAAAAGGCACCCGTTTGTAACCTCCAGTAAGACCAAGGATTGCCTTCGAGCAGCGATTGAACTTGGCTATACAGCAATACATACTTTACTATAATTCAAATACAACCGGCGAGTGGAACTGCTCATACGAAATCCTTTGGCGTCTCACCTTCGGCCAGGTGAAGTATTTGCGCTGCGCCGCATGGCAAGCGTTGAGGCAGGCCGTCAGTGTGTGCGCGTCAGGCCTGGAGAACAGGCCATGATGTCAAATGGGAGACCTCAGCTTCTGCTCCTTGCGTTCTCCGAGGAAAGGATGAAGGATTAAGGAGCCAAAGCCGTGGATTAACGTTAAATGCGCAAGGTGAGTACATGATTGGTCAAACTGACCCCTGAAAAAAGTGAATCGTGCCAAGCGAGGTGGCGAGCACTGCCTTCCTCATGTTAGCCCCAAAGCTTCGGTATCAAACCAAGAGCTGCCAAGCAGCAAGAAATTATCTAAGAAGCCAGCTACAATTCTACCGGAAATCCTTTGGTGGGTATTTGGCCCAGGTCCTGCAGCAATTCCTGGCTTCTGCCCTATCCTCTTCCTATCGCCACCGCCCAAATCCACTTTGGTTTCAGCCGTCTCGCCGAAGCAAGCCCTCCATGAGGGTGTGTTCTGGCATTCCGTGCGGGGATTAAAGCGAGGCCCTAAACATGAACGACTAAAGTTGGCTTAAACACATCCCAAACTCCTGTTCTAACTACTCAGGCCTTTATAGTACAACACTCAAAAAGCACTTGCCAGCCCGTGCACCATGACCAGTGGGGAAACAAGCAACAGCTTGGATGCTTGAAATGCAGCAGCCAATGATGGTGTGTGGAAATGGTCAACAGTGTGTGACTGTGTGTGTGCGGGTGCGCATCAAATGAACCACATCTTGCATGCCCTCCATCCAATTATCCTGGTTTGTTTTTGGCTCAAGTGTGTCTACGTTTTCTGCAGCTTTACGTGGGTGTGCCATCTTCTTACGTACCCCAAACAAATGTGTTTTTCCTCTTGGGGTCATTGTAGAACCACCCAAAAGGGGGGGGTCTCAACAACAGACACACCCATGTTCGCTGCTCAATTCCACAAGACCCGTGAGGACAACTGGACCCAGCCCATGCCTGCGAAGCCTCGCCATGAACAGGCACAGCCGCCAACGGCCAGTGCTTTGCAGGGCGTCCAGACAGGAGTAAAAACCTCATGGCAATGGCGGGGAATGCACGCTTGCATCTTGACATGGGTCTGTCTCAAAATAGGCGGGGGGTCTGTCTCAAAACGGTGTCCCTTTCCCCGAAAAAGAAAAAAACATGGAAGCCACAAAACTATGGTTTGCATTAAAGGAGTCTCTTGTGGGACCCCGCTGTCGGCAAAGGAGAAAACTGTTCAGCGGAGTCCCGGCCTTGTGGCTACACTGTCATTTTGAAACGGACTCTCTTGGCATCGCAGAACCTGACCCTGAAACCTAGCTTTTCGCAGCCATGCCTCACCCAAACAAGCTGCTTTGTCCAAATTGAACGCAACCGCTTCAAGGCGGCATTTCCGGGTCCATGTGGTTTGTCTAGCCCAACTGCCTTTCCCCAAGCAACACATCTGCACAAAGTGCAAACAGTCTTGGAGAAAAGGGACAACCGGGGTTCCCCACAAGATACATCCGCACAACGCCTGTTTCACAAGGGCACCCCCCAAGTCAGCTGGATGATGCTCAACGTGGCCCAAAACGTGTCCCTTGAGCGACGCTGGCAAACCTCGTTGGACAAGGTGAACTGCAGATTTTCTACACATGAGTCCCGGGCACGATCACTTGTTTCCCCCTGAAAACACATGGAAAAATTGGCGTGTTTGGGTTTTGTGGGGCGTTGAGTTACCCCATGTTTTCCCAAATCAACAGTAGACTGAGTTAATGATATTGCCCACCCAGATAGGCCTTGTCACAAACCTCCACAATGCCAGGTAGAATCACCGTCTGGAATGTTGTCAGTGACTCAATGAAGAACTGCCACGCACACTTGCACCAAGGCGCTGAGAGCATTGAGCTGCGCTCGTCGGACGCACACGTCAGTGAGCCTTCGCACGCCGAGTGTGACACAAAAGCCAATAGCAGCAGCGATAAACAACATCCGCAGCAGAAGCAGCAGCAGCGATAAACAACAGCAGCAGGAATTCAAACGTCTCATCTGACGCCATTGCTCTTCCCAAATACTTGCTCTGATACCACTATGAGGGTCCGACCCGGGGCCTCCAAATCCAACCCGGGGCCTCCAAAAAGGCGCAGAATACGGTCGCACTCCCTGGACGAAGGACTAAGCTTGCACCAACTAACATAGCTACTGTATCGAGATGCTTGCAGCAAACAAAACAAGGCGCATTGTCATTTCTCCACCCGCCGAACTGAATTCCTTGGGCCCGCAGTCCACTTCATTGGCAAGAACAACGCAAACACATCGCTTCTGACCCCGCAGACTACATATGGCTGCGAGTTTGAAAGCGTCTGCCTCGCGAAGGCGCCTTCCACGGCCATCTGTCATGCCGCGCCTTGGCAACGTCGTCTCCCAATCATCTTGCCCCGCAAGTCACAGGCCTTGAGTCTGAAGGATGTCTTCTTGGACTTTTTTGGTTCCACATTGCCGGAGGCCTGCAGCGCCGACGTCGCCTTGCGAGTTCGTCAGCGGCTGCACCTTGCGGCGCGTGGGCGCCCGCAGCGCCTACGGCACGCCTGCAACCTTCTGCGCTCGCAAGGAGCGGCGATCTTGTTGAGCGGGTCCGCTCGGGCGCCGCTTGCACCAGCTTCTCCCTTGGTTTGGGCCTTCCGCGCCTCCGTTCTGCCGCGGTGGCTTTTTCAATCACGACAATGGCCCGAACAGAAGAGACACCCTTTTGAGGCGAGTCTGGTTGAACTTTGGCGGATCCAACTAGCTCTAGCTTGGGCTTAATCATCGTTTGTGGAGAACTTACTTTCAACCCCAGGGACGCCCAACTGAAAGAGATCAGGAACACGATGCCTCCAAACAGCGGCACAGCCATGCAGTTCAGACTGCGTTTGGGTGTGGAGCTCTCCTCCTGATCCCCGAACCCTAAGAAGGCAACCATTTTGAGGGAAACCATCCAACCAAAAAGAAGCCAAAGCCCTGTGTGTCCCAGGCGCTGCAGTACCCTGCGCCACTCCGGCGCCAGTGCTGCGGGCAACTCCGCGCGCGCAGATTCTGAGTCTGCCACCGACGGCTCGGCCAGGCGCAAGGCGAAACGCCACCTCCGGGGTTTGGCGCGCCCAAGGGGGCGAAAGTGAAGCTTGAAGTCTGGAGCATGGAAACCAGCAGAGGACTACTGCCTCTTTGCTTGAAAACGAATAGGGCGTGGACACTTGCCACAAATGACGCAAAAGCGCACCTCACAGCAACGAACCCACTGTCCGTAAGGACCATGCAAAGCACCTAAGGCGACATATTTCACTTGAGGCCTTAACAGTGCCTCCATAAACACAAAGGCCATTGCCCTACAAAGAGCTGGCCCTGCCTTTTACCAACTACCAAATGCGAGAAAGTAGCACACAGGCCGGGAGGTCACGATGCAAAACCACCCCGAGAAAGCCAGGACAAGATCAGGAAGTACAAACAGACTCAACAGTATCGAGCGCTTCGTTGGCAGTCCAAAAAGACGGCGAAATGTCACCACACGCGTAAAAAAGAGTCTGTCAAATGAGCCAAGCGTCACATGGCACTCCGTTGTCCGTCTGAACTCTGAACGATGGCTAGAAAAAGGTCGTCGCGACGGCGCAGAAGTGGCCGGGGAGCCAGCAGACAACACTGGCCAGTTCCCCGAATAGGCGCCGCAAGCAAGGCCTTTGGGAAGGTTTCATTGTTGGTCAAGGGCAAAGATGCTTCACATGTCCCCAAACATTGACTCAGTTCCCCCCCCCCCAAACCAAAACGACGACACACACGCACCAAAACAGAACCGGCTGCCTTCGGCCGGCGCCCATCACGGCCACCGCGGCGTTCCGAGTGGCGGTCTCCAGCTCCAGAGATCCTCGGAGGGAACTCGGTCGATGCGAACTGGCCATGGGTCAAAAGCCAAAGCCCGTACCCCCAGTGAACATCAACCAATCCAACCACTAAAATAGGTTGGAAAATGGGTGGTGAATTCACCTACCCCAAAATGGTACCATTGGTTTTGACCCACTGCCATTTGAAGCATCAAGGAGGTTGGTTCTGCACTTCAAATGGGTCGTGTCACTGATTTCGCAAACACCGACGACATGGGTCCCCTTTCCGAAGTCACGGACACCCTCATACACATTGGTGCGAGAGGACGTGGGTGGACCGTGAACCCAGTACCGAGAGCATGTCCGTTGCTCATGTATGGAAATGCAAAACAAAGCCGCAAACTGGTGCATTCTCACCGGCATATTTCAAGGTGTTGAATCAACCCTGGGAATTGAATACGTTCTACCATCGCCCAAGGCTCGCCTGCCCAAAGGACCAAAAAGTCAAAGGTTCAGCTTTTGGGGCCTTGACTCGCTTCCTAAGTTGCCACCAATGGTCTTCTCAAACACCAAAAAGTCCAAGGTTTTCTCTTGGCATGAAACCAAAAGGGAAAAAACCCGAAACCCCAAGTGTCCTGTCTCGGGCAAATAGAACCAAAGAAACCAACTCAAGTGAGTTGACCGAAGGCCTCAGTCCAGATGAATTCGCTGAGGCGTCGAGCGGATTTCCATGGGAGTCAACGGGGTGCCCCGCTCCAGAATGAGACAACCCCTACATGCCTAGGGGGAACCGCTCAAGAAAGGAAGGAAACATGACTCTCTCTCCCCCCCTAAAAACATAATGGGGGAGGGGAGAGTGGGGGTGGACCCCAGGGACCCCTAACCAAAAGAACAAAAAATGAGAAGGAAAAAAAAACATATGCCCGCGCCCAAAACAAAATGGAGCAAAAGCAGCTCTGCCGGTCAGGTGTTGCGAATCCAGCGTCGCCAGGCCATGTGGTGCAGCAAATGCAGCGCAGGCACCCAGCGGCCAGGCTTCCTCTGTGAAGACACTTGCAACGGGAATTCACCCCCCCACGACTCCAGTCGGGGAGGGCTATGGATTCTGCTGGAAAACAAAGCAGCAAGGGGTTTCCACCGGAAAAAAAATCGCCGCTATTCCCTTTTCATGCCTGTCAGAAAAAGCACAAAGTAAAGTGGCTACTGGAAAATATGACTTGCAGGCTATCCTATAATATGGAGAATAGCTTTGGAGGAGACCCCAAAATCTAATGCTCCGGTTTGGCAGCGATCACCCATTCCTGCTCATTCGCAATCCGTCTCAAAAAACAACGGCCAGTTGTGGGGTCTCTTAAAAACCAACCAACACTTGCTGGCGCTCAGGGAATGAGAATTGCAAGGACCCCGTTTTCAACCATCCAACTGGTTTGCTTTCGTCCGGTTCATTCCCTCATTCCCTACCTTTCGCACCAGCTTTGAAAAGGAATTCCCCCCCTCCCCCCCCCAGAAATTTCCCCTCCCCCCCCCCCGAAAAAAAAAAAAAAAAAAAAAAAAAAACGCCACGCCACGCGCCACGCTCGCCTGCACGCGGCCACCGCCGCCCCCCCGCGCACGGCGCTCGCCGACTCCACGCCCTCAGAGGAGGCGGAAGCCAAAAACTGCGCCGCCTCCCAGGCGCCGGCCTCCGCAGGGAAACCGAATGGGGGAAAACATGGGCAGGATGAGGGGAAAACATGGGAAAACATGGCAAAAAACACGGGACAACATGGGAAACAATGGGGGAAAAAACCTGGGAAAACGATTTTCTGGAAGACTGGCTTAACAGTGCTTGTTCCAGGAACATGGGGGAAAACATTGGACGACCAAAAGGAACTGTGGAAAGATGAGAACAATAAGGAACGGATTCAATTGCAAAAGCGACTCGGCCCTTTGTTGAGAAACGCAAAAACAAGAGATGGTACAACATGTTGAAAACTTGAAACAAACACAAAAACAAGAGATCATCCAACCGGACAAGTAAAAGCGCATAACACCCACAATTTCAACATTCAGACCCAAACGGAACGAAAAAACACTGCAAAAACGGGCCTGGGAAGCTCCTCCAGCCTCCCTCCTCCATTCCCAATCCGCCACAAACCAAGCTGAGTTGGTCACAATGGCCCCTTTGAGCTTCCCAGGATCATTGGATCTTTGACCACGCGGCAGTGGATCATATTGTTGCTCGTGAGTCGTGAGTCGTTGGAAACGTCTCCAAGAAACATTCCCGAACATGCCCACTCTAAACATCGGATCACGTGTTGCTGGTTACTCTCCCACAAACCAACATGGAAGTGCACATTTCGACTATTGCCCAGCAGGCATCCCTTGCGGCGGGGGACTTGCTCCCCTGGTCCAGATTTTTGGGATTTGCTAGCCAGGGCTTCACCATCAACGCCAGTCCCTCGTTGCCTTGTAAGTGGCTGGACTGGGGAATCGAAAAATGACAAACTGAGCATCGACTCGAAAAAGAAACTGATCCGAATCCTCCCAAGCCCCGCCAAAGCACGGCCCAAACACGCCCTCGCCCGGACTCGCAAAGCACTTTTTCTGTGGCCAAACTTCTTTGGAATCCTCGAGACTCTCGTCACTCTCTATGCCTCAAAACCGGCTGGTGACACTCTGAAGCCCGCTGGACTTCTGGACTTCTGAACTTCGCGCTCGAGAATGGCGACTCGGAAACCGGACCGGCGATCTTTTTGCACCATGGGAGCAAGTGTCAGGGTTTTTGCAATCGTAGAAACGGGCACAGGAAGTACTGACAATCGACACCTAACGCCCACCAAAAGAGGTGTGTGTGTGTGTGTGGCGAGTTTCCGGTCAAATTGTCAGCCGGTTTGGGAGAGTTACATGTTACGGGCCCCTGGCAAATGAACAAACGTATTGCAACATATAGCATAACAGAAGGGCAGGGGGTCATACCCCACGTAGTGGATGGCCGAAAAAAGACTTGTTGCTTATCCCTAAAATGGTCCAAACCCAGAAAGCGACTGTGACTAAAGTCCAGGAACGGGAGAAAGTTAAACATCACCTCCTCCAGCGGGTAAGAGCCAGGAGACCAAGGCCCACTCAGCCCTTGAGCATGCGCAGCGCATGAGGCAGCACCGGCAGCAGCACCGAAAGGCACTGCCGAACCGCGTTGGGATGCCCTGGCAGGTTCACGATCAGCACCTGTTCCTGGCCGGTGCTGCCGGTGTTTGAGTGTACCCTTTTTCAGGATCGGTTCAAAAAGGAAACCAAAAAGGAATTTGGGGGTTCCTACTTTGACAAGCTTGAATTTGAGTATGTGTCAATATAGGGGAGACCCCAAATGGAGGCTGTCGTATTAGTTTCCCTCTTAAGATTCCACCTTCTAAAAGGCAGCCTCCAACAAAGGCCCATGAGAGGCAACCAAGTTGGAACCCCAAGGGGCTAAGCTTTGAGGGAAACATAAGCCCCTCAAATGCAGGAAAGGTTCGCATAGAACCTTCGAATCCTTTGGGTTCAGAAAACCTATTGGGCTCGAATGGTTCGCCATGGCGCGCTCGCCATGGTTCAGGGTGCATTTCTCCTATCACCCCAAAAGAAACTCACTTCACACTGCCCGACAAGGTGATGCTTAAAATGACCGGGGGAAATATAGGGAACACTGGTGCAGGCCAGACTTCATACGCCGCTTCGACGAAGCCACGTGAGCCTCCGACTTTGCCAGGCTCGCCAGTGTGGAATGAGCCGCCCCCACTCCAGGTCCGAGAGGGTTCCAAAAGATGCGTAAAGATAACTTGATTCGCAAGAGGTCTTCAATCTGCTGGTAAACGCGATTTTCAGCATGGAACCGTATTGTTGCACTGACCAATGAAGTGACAGCCTTGAAGGGCGGTGCCAAGTTCCGAAAGTAATTTTGAAAACGCCTCTACATGGAACCACTTGCAGGGACCAATCGGTGATGTCAAGTTTCCAAATGCATACATATGTGTATGTGATAGATTTTGTTGCGGTATCCTTTTCTTTGTTCCAAAGGGCACCTGCTTGCAAGCTTTCTCTTTCGATGTGTTTTACCCTCTTCAAACACTGATTCACAGCCGGGCTGAAAGTTTGGCCCCTAATAGTCACCAGTAGGCTGCAATGACTCCCCTGGCGAGTCTGAATCAGAATATGTGCCAGGGTCACAAAATCGGTTGTTTCACCTGGGGTCGACAGGGATGGTCATCAACCTCGGGCCTCGGCTTGGCCCACATGTGGGGTGCACAGAAAATCACAGTTTCTGGTTCTGCTAATTCATTCGCCAACATATGTATACATATGTTTATATATATATATATATGCAGTTTGGAGGAGACCCCAAGGGCTTTATTTTAGACCTCGTGGCTTTGAACCAGCCAACGGACCTCCGACTGCACGACTTGCCATCCGCCCTTCGCCGTCCGCCATTCGCCCCGTCGCCTGGGTGACCCCGCAGACGCCCCGCGACAGCACGCTGCGGGGCTCCTGCAAAGACGTCTGCCAGGCCATGGCCCGAGCGAGGCCTCCAGCTAGAAAAACAAAACGAAAGGCGGGCATGTCTATTGTAATATACACATCCGTTGATACAGACGGAAAGATAAATCACAGCAGAACTATGTCCTCACATCTAAATTCGCCTTGGCCCCAACGGGGCCAAAGGCGCTCAGATCTCGCTTCCCGAAGGGAATGTTCGCTTTTCCCCTTCCCCGCAAATTTGTGTGGCCCAGCCACCCCCCCCCACCCCCCCTCACCCATGTCTGCTGGCCCTAAGATCCTGTCCGGCGGGCCTTGACAAATGCGCTGAGAATGGCAAAGCTCATCAAAACATACCTGTCTGACGTGTCTGAGACTAGCCTCAACCTGCAGCGCAGTCCGGCTGCCTAATGTCCAGGCCCAGCAACAACCCACCCAAGAAACCAGCCTTGTCTCAACCTGGCATGTCTGAGACCAGACTCACATGTCTGAGACTAGCCCGGTGTCTGAGACTCGTCTCAGGCCCAGCCCAACCAGCAACCACCCAAGCAAGGCTCATCCCAGCCCGCCCAGCCCAGCTTAGGCCCTCCACCAACCAACCCAAGCAAGGCCCAGCCCGGCCCGCCCTGTCTGCTGGCTCCACGCCTCACTCCTGGTCTTGTGCATCGCCTTGCCCTTGCCCCGGGGATTCCTGCGGGCCATGACATCAATTGGGCCAACGACGCCAGAACCTGTCCATGCCTGAATCGCCACTTGACCAGCTCTGCTGCTTGCAGTCGAACCGCAGACGCTGCGCGCTCGGCTGGGCCAAGGCGGGCGACGCGCAGCGTTTACAAAAAAATAATAAACACATACAGGTACATATGTGAGAATGTAAATATATATATATATATTTACATAAGAAAATATGTATGCATATACATATATATATATATATGTATGTGTGTACGTGTGTACGTGTGTATGTGTGTATGTGTGTATGTGTGTATGAGTGTCTGTGTGTCTGTCTGTGCGTCTGTCTGTCTGTCTCTGTCTCTGTCTCTGTCTCTGTCTCTGTCTCTGTGTCTGTGTCTGTGTCTGTGTCTGTGTTTGTGTCTGTCTCTGTCTCTGTCTCTGTGTCTGTCTCTGTGTCTGTGTCTGTGTCTGTGTCTGTGTCTGTGTCTCTTTCTGTGTCTGTGTCTGTGTCTGTGTCTGTGTCTGTGTCTGTGTCTCTGTCTCTGTCTCTGTCTCTGTCTCTGTGTCTGTCTGTCTGTCTGCCTGTGTATGTATGTATGCATGCATGCATGCATGCATGCATGCATGCATGCATGTATGTATGTATGTATGTACGAATGTGTGTGCATGTGTGTATATATATAAAACAAATATATATATATATATATATGTATGTATGTATGCATGTATGCATGTATGCATGTAATGAATGTATGTATGTATGTATGTATGTGTGTATGTATGTATGTATGTATGTATGTATGTATGTATGTATGTATGTATGTATGTATGTATGTATGTATGTATGTATGTATGTATGTATGTATATATGTATGTATGTATGTATGCATGCATGTATGTATGTATGTAAGTATGTATATATGTGTGTATGTGTGTGTGTGTTTATGTATGTGTGTGTATATGTATGTATGTGTGTATGTGTGTATGTGTGTATCTGTGTATCTGTGTATGTGTGTGTAGATGTATGTATGTATGTATGTATGTATGTATGTACGTATGTATGTATGCATGCACGTAGGTATGTATGTATGTATGTATGTATGTATAAATGTATGTATGTGCATGTATGTATGTGCATGTATGTATGTATGTATGTACCTATGTGTGTGTATGTATGTATGCATGCATGCATGTATATGTAGGAACGCTTGTTTTTATGTATGTCATGTATGTATGTATGCATGTATGAATGCATGTCTGCATGTATGCATTTATGTATAGATTTGTGTATAAATGCATGTATGTATGTATGTATGTACGTATGTATGTCTCTCTGTATGTATGTATGTATGTATGTATGTATGTATGTATGTATCTATGTATCTATGTATCTATGTATCTGTGTATGTATGTATGTATGTATGTATGTGTGTATGTCTGTATGTACTCATGTATGTATGTGTGTATGTGTGTATGTGTGTATGTGCGCATTTGTGTATGTGTGCATGTGTGTATG